CCAGCTTGGCAAACTTATGACCGAAGATGCTTTTCCATTTCTCTGACATATGGACCCCATCAGCCCCCCGTAGGCCAGGTTTCTCAAAGTGAGTCCTGTGGTCTAAGTAGCCAAACCCTGGGCTGTGGCACCAGTCCCATAACCCGTTGTTGATCTTGTTCAGATCTATGCTACTCTAAGTGTGCGTAAATATTTAGCAGCCATAGTTTGATGGTTCTTCAGCAGTGTCAGAAATTAGAACTGCTATAGTCTATTGATTCCTGTATTGACAGTCTAAGGCAATTTTTCTGAAAAAGTTGTTGGATACTGAGGAAAACAAATATAGGCTTAGATACCTGATTTTAAGTCTAGTGCCTAGCTGAGGTGGAAATTAACGGCTGTGGAGCATTCTGTATGTTGAGAAAGATTATCGAAAGTGATCCCAGATCAAGAAGATGCAGGATGAGGAATGGGGAATTATGAACGGCCAGTTTTTACAGGAGTAGCATAGCTACAGTCTACTGTGTATTTACAGTTCAGAGAAATGACTTGATCTAGGTTTAAAAAATTAATAAACTCAGTTTGACGTACAGTAAGGTAGTTTGTAGAGAAGTATGTTACTATTCATAATCTTTTTCTCTTCATTAGGAATGAGACAATGTCTAATGTACTAGAAGAATCAAATTCTATTTAGATTTTTTCTTATAACTGGTGTTATTAATATTTTCTTTATTAACTTCCAATATCATTGTCATCTAGTGTTTATGTGACATTGGTGTTTGCTGGATACTGCTTCTTTATATTGAATGCTCAAATGAGATGGAAGATGCCCATGAAGTCCTTCAGTTTGTAACTATGGAATAGGACAGAACTTTTCCCCTTTTCCCCTTTTTGCCTTTTGTCTTTTCCTTTTTCTCGTTTTCCCATTTATATTTTTCCTTTTTTTTTCTTTTCCCCTTTTTTCTTTTTCCTTTTTCCCTTCATTTTGAAGACAGCTTAGCTCCCCTGTGAATTCTTTTTTGTCTCTAGATGAAGCTGCTAGATGTTTTATAGCAAATGCTGACTGGGTATGACTGTAAGAACACAAACAGAGATTTAAATTTGTTGTCTGAAAAAGTGTCATTAACCAGCCATTTCAATGTTTGGCCAAGATTAAGCATCCGTGTAAAGTGTTAGTCATCTATGCTGCTTTTTAGACTGCTTGTTTCATTCATAAGTATTATGAGCTCAGAACATAATTTCTTTAAGCCAAATGTGGTGTTGGCACCATTTCAGTGTGCTCTGTGCTTTGAACTTGCTTTAGATGACTGTAATGCCTAGTTCAGTGGTTAAAGAATTTAGCTCCCTATAAGATAATAGATACCCAACCTCAAAATTATCTATAATAGTGTGGAAAATCAGAAAGCTGTGGATTTCATCTTACTGTTTTGGAGCAGTTAAACTATCAAACCAAAAATACTTTTGCGTATATTTTAGCACCAGAATATGATTAACATGTGATGGTAAAATCAATTCTACTGCCCAGATCCCTGCAGCATACATTTCAGATTTTGAAGACATATATCTTAAACTGTAATGTTTTATTTATTTTATTCTGTCTAATGAATTTTGTGGTCTTACAGCTTTAAATTGAAACAGTGTAGCAGAACACATGCAACTAATTCCTCATGACAAAGAATAATAGACTCAACTATGCATATCAGCATAGCTACTAGTAAACTAGTAATGGTATATGGTATTTTGTCCTGATTATGTACTGTTTCCAAATATTTTTCTGTTTCTCATGCATAATTTTTCTTATCCTAATCTTCCATTTTATTCAAAAGCATTTTAGAAATAGAGCCACATGAACAAATACCAGAGCAAGCACACTCAAAAAATACACTGGGTAAAGGATTATATTTGATATATTTGCTGTTAAAAACAAAACAAAACAAAACAAAACAAAACAAAACAAAACAAAACAAGCCCCCCAAAAACCAGACAACAAACCAAAACCATTAAAAATTGGATGGGAATATGTTCCTGTACTTAATCCTCTATTGAGCTCCTCCTGTACTCCTTTTCTTTTAGGCCTGTAATGCAGGCCTAAAAGAAAACTACTAGCTAGGCTTTATAACTGTAGCGTGTTCTTTTCATTTCCATGGGCATGTAGTCAGTTGTGGAAGAAAGAGAGGCTATGACACAGCTTTCTTTTATTTCCTTCTCTTCGAGATTTTGCATATCACAGGCACCAGATGTTTTCCTTTGCAGCTTTACCATGTTCTACTTCTCAGCGTGGCATTAGACAGAAACTGAAATGGGAAGTTGTGAGAGGGAAGAATGATGAAAGAAGTAGTTAGCATTGGCATAAAATTGAACTTCTTATGGAGATTAAATATAAATGAATTTATCATTTACTCAGCATTAGCATGAAAACCATTTTATATTTTAACAGCACAAAGTCATATTGCACCACCAAAATTTCTGCCAGATATCACATTTATGTATGAATTTGTGAAAGTAATTTTTTCTGATACTCATTTTGGTTATATGGTGATTGGGTCTATGCTAACAGTTATGCAACATGGACCCATGAAGGAGAACTGATTTTCACTTGGAGCTGCACAGAGCATCTAACATATATCTGAATACTTGATTTAGAAACACAAAGGTCATCACTCGAAAATTCTTGAGGAAATTTAGTAAAAATAGACAACTCAATGGCTAAACCCATTATATTCTTTAAGACCTACCTATAAACAAGTTTAAACAAGGGCATGCAATTTCTGGTTGTCTTTTTATTTATCTGTCGGTGTAACTTTGACAGAAATATCCTTGCTGTTTTTAGCACTGTCATGTTGCTTGCTTATTTTTAGTTAGCTGTGGCAGAGTGTTATGTCTCTCAGAAAATTAAGCTTTCTTAAAACACTGGTGATTTAGGCTATGGTCCCAGGCCTATTGAGGTAGGTCTCATGTAGGCAGGTTTCTTCTGACCATCATATAGTGTATTTTTTGTTCTCAAGTGAACTTAATTTGGGGATTTAAACGTGATGTCAGAAATCTACCAAGAGACAGCTGTAGTGCTGCACGGATGGTCTTTGTTGTATAGCTTATTAGAACTATATCTGGGTACCATAAAAAATATCTGAGAATATTTAAGGAAGATACAGGCTAAGGTCTCAAAGTCTCATAATATTACAAAATGCTAACTCCTGACTAGAGTTGGTTCAGCCTGGAGAAGCTCAGCTGTTCATTTTCCAGTTACTGTTCTGTGTAATATAGAAATGATAATAAATTTAAAAAGGATAGCTTTCGTTTTTTTTTTTTTTGTTGTTGTTGTGGGTTTTTTTTCTGAAACTGGTCTATTTTCTGGTAACAATGTCTTGTTGAGGATTCTTTTAGCTTTATGATATGTAAAGTCCTCACAAATTTTATTTCTAACATTAAAAAATTATTACAAAAGACAACTGCTGTAAATGGATGATCAGTTAGGCTAATCTATCTTTCTGTGTGTTAACAGGATGATTCAAACTCTTGAACACATCTCTAGGATAGATCTGTTTTCAAATAGAGTAATAAATCTTGTCTCTAAAAAAAAAAAAATCTATGAGCTTGATGTAGATTCTTTTAAAAAGCAAAGATTTTTATTTGCATTAGTTGTATCCACTTTTTTTTTCCTAGACAAGTTGAAGTTATTTTTTTTAGTAATACTAGATCAGCTTTTCTATTATCTGCTGTACCTACAAACTTGTAAATGAATTGTCTTCTAAGATTTTTTTAATACCATGACTACTCTTATTGATTAGAGATTCATTGTAAATTTTTCAATATAAATAAGTAGTGAAAAAAAGCAATAGTAGGACAAAGGAGCCAGTGACAGAAGTAAATATCAAACGACCTAGTTTCTTTAGCATAATAAAATCCAGAGCAAGAAATGTATATTATAACTGTTTTTTCACTGAAAGTTCTAACGTGAAAGCAATATAGATGTTTTCAGTGATCCTTTTTGGTCATTGAATAATATTCTCTTCATTTGCCAAAATAGGATTAGTGAGTAGATCTCATTAAGAATTTGCACATGACTGTTTTTATATAGATAAAAGGGAGCGAATTCCTCAAAGTCAAAGTCGGGAAAATAATATCTAAGAATCCAAGCAGGTAGAAAGCATTACTGCAAGGATATTTTTTCAGTGCCTGCCAGGCAAAATTAGCTTGCCTTCTTTCTTAAAAGGACGCATGCTAAGTATCAGAATCAGGAAAGCTTCTGGTAATTTAAGACATAGGGTCTAAAGCAAAAGATAATTAAATATTGAAACAATTATTTTTTTTTTTAAGAGTACAGTCTTAACAAAAGAAAATATAGAATGGTGGTAAAGATTGTTTCATTTTCATTAGAAGTTACTCATAAATCTATTTGTTGATAATCTTTTGTAGAAAGAAGTCTCATTATTAAAAAAGATAGAAATGTAAAGTTTTTTTTACATATAAAGCTATTTGTAAAGGCATCCTTTATTCTTCATGGCATATTTATGACTTGACCTTCTACCCCATCACACTTTAATCCTCAGAAACATTACATTTATAGTCCAGGTTTTCAAAAATAGAATTTCACAACATACATTAGTCATCACCTTCACCTTTCGCTTCCTTTTAAATTAATGCTACTTAAAGAACCCATTAAAATTGTTCTTGAACTCCGTGAGTGTGTAAGGATTGTTGGATAACCCCCTCAGTTACAACAACAGTTTTTCTGCATACTGCTGAGAACATGTATGAGTATTTGTGAGCAAATGATAAAAAAGAAAAAAATCTTTTAGGCCCATATAATTGCTTTATTATTTTATAATCTGATGATATTAAAGCTGGTTTGATATGCCATCTTGAAAATAAGATGAAGTTTTATTGTTTACATCTGACACCTGGAATACTTGTGGTTGTTGGAGAATCAATGTCCTGTTTCATAGTCACATGTTAATTTATAGAGAAAAAGAAATTATTGTAGTCATTAACACTAATGCATATGTGTATACCATTCTTAGACATATGAAGGACCAAACCAAGAAGGTTGCCAATCTGAAGCACAATCAGCAAATGGAGAAAAAAAAGAATGCACAGTTGTTGGAAGAAGTTCGTAGACGAGAGGACAATATGACTGACAACTCTCAACATTTACAAGTGAGTTTATTTTTCAATTGTGTTTTAAAACCACCTAAGAAAATACACTTCTGTTTTATTGTGTGTCTTCCAGGATGTGTAATGAATCTCTTCCCAGGAAGAGCTGATGGCACTCTCCTTTCCTACCATAGGCCACTACTGACTTCTGTTACATCCATTAAATATTTACTATTCAGGGTGAAGAAAAAACAATAGAATTTGAAGTCCTCTCCTCACAAGGACTGTATTTTACTTATTTAAAAACAAGTAAGTCCTTATAGCTTGTTTTGAGGAGAGTCAGAAAACAGAAGGATAATTATCCTCTCTGGATTCTATTTCTGTGCTATTCACAGCATTACATCCACAAGCCATAGGCAGGTTATATAGTATGGCTATGAATGTTCAGCATGTTTGATTGTCAAATAGTAGCGTGCTATGATTTTTTTTTTCTTTTTTCTTTTTCTTACTGGTCAAACATTTACATAACTGGGTGATTAGCTCTGTAAAATACAACATAGTTTTTCAAGAACATTCAATTGTATAAGAGACATTCTGCCATATTTTCCAGTGTGGAGATTGAATGTAACATTTGAGACCCATAAGCCCCTTCCTGTTGTGTTTCTAGATGTAGCTCTTCACATTAAATTCCACTGTCTGGGAGTGAAATTCTGTATCATCTGGTTGCATACTTAGATCATTTAATGAGAGTGATTTGATCTTACGAACTCTGTACATGCATATGTAGTGGCTTAAAAGGGTGAGGATGGATTGTCTAACAGGGTAATGCTGAATTTAGAATCCTCACCAAAGATAATTTTTATCTTATGTACTTAGATATAGCATATAGAACTGCTCTATGTAGCATAGAACACTGGAGACCGCTATAGCTGTCTCATTTGACAGATTTCTTTTAGTCATTACTGCACAGTTACTACACCAGCAACAGTTGGAAAGAAAAGGTTCACCTATATTTTTTTTTAAGATAGACTTTGAATCTTATTCCAGGAGAATTTCTACAGTTTGTAAGTTACTGAGTTTGGGCACTGACATTTGAAACATAATTAGGTGATCTGGTTAAATGATACATTCCATACTAGGGAATTTGTATTAAAGGCCACAAAAGAAGTTTGATGCTTGACTTAAAAATTATTCTCTGAGGTCTGACTATGAAAAACTATGAAGAAAACTACCGATTTCTGTCAACAACATCAATGTCTTCATACCCAGTGTTTATAGGCAAGTCTAATTTACAGTGCAAAATATCAATTTTGTCTTGTTCTGGTTAATATAATGGGTTTCTGGAAAAATTTCCAGTAGGTGGAATTTGACCCTCACATGTTTCATATGGTACTGTATTTCTCACGTGTTCCTGTATGCAAAATGGAGACATGAACACCACACCTTTCTTCAGGCTTGTGTTGGTGAATCCATATGTCAGAATCAACTTCAGGAAATGGTACATTATTTATGCATCTGTGTAGTGTTATGTATACGTTATAACCTTGGTTATTACATACCGATTGCATCACCATGCATTTTACTGCACATGATATGGTAATAAAACCTTGTGAAATATTTGGTATGACAATATGATATATTAAAATTAAATTTCAGTGTTAGCAACTTGTAATTAATGGGGTTCAGTAAAGAGAATATATTAGAACTTTATTTTTTCAGTATTATTTTGGAAATCTATCAGGGTGGCATGATCACTAGACAATAGAAGTCATCCCTGGGGTCTTTGATGTAACTGCTATACTTGGAGCTTTCGTCATGTGATGAGAATGGGTCTACCAAATAGAAGCAGCATGGCTGAATAGCCTGAAATTAGAAAGAAAAAAACTTGGCTGGTGTATAGCTCTTCTGTGCTGTTCACTTGCTGTAAATCATTTACACACTAAGAACGGTTTATGAAGACCAGTTAACTAAGAACAGTTATTTCTCTGTTACTATGCCTTAAAATCTTAATACAGCGTACTTCAATGTGCTACTTTCAATAATGTATGTGTATGTGTTGTGGCCCATCCTACACTTGCTGAACTGCTGGAAATGTGAAAAAGAAAGGATCCCAGCTGCTTCTGCCTATCAGCAGGTGCTTTGTGTTCCCCAATTCTTCCTTCAGTAGCTGCAAGAAGAACAAGAGGAAATGAGTGTTGGTTGCCTATGCTGCTGGCATACTGGTGCAGGTAATCCTGCCTTTTCTGCCAGATGCAAAACAGGCAAGCTGCTGCTCTCATCAGTTTGCTGCCTTAACTAGCTGTTATATTTCCTGTCTGAAACGTTTCCTCATTTCCTTAGCCTGTTTCTTCCTATGCCTTTCTTAATGTTGACTGTTGTGTTCATGCAGGGCTGGATGTGTTCTTTCATTGCAGTTTGCTTTAGTGAATTAGATTGGCTGTCAATGCATGGATCATGGAAGTGGCAAATCCACCTGAAGGAAAATGGCTTGTTTGATGTTACAAATTGAGCTGTAAAATACCTGTAGATGTGCAGGTGCAAATAGAAGTTTGGTTCTACAGCAATGTGATATGTCCAGGTAATTCCTAAGGAAAAAAAGTGAACAGAGAGGGATGGAGAAAAGCAGCCAAACTTGATGAACATCTGTCAGCTCTTTCCTTCCCCATTAAATTAAGATAAAGACTTGCTTTGGTCTAGCAGGTACAGGAGACAGATATCTTTTCACTGCTTCAACGAATCCTTTCCAAAGTGGGCTTGATAACGTGTCCTTGTACAATTACTTCTTTCGTAAGATTAAGGAAGATGGGATAGTGGCAGTATTTGGGGTTATTTTTTTCTGTTTTTCTTGTGAGGTAAAGGAATTGTTATTCTCTGTGGAAGTTCCTTAGGGTTTGATTTCAGAAATGAATCTCAAAATTAATTGTTCCAGTAAAAGCTCATTATATACTTCTACGTCTAATCAAAATATGTCACTGCCTCACACATTGGGAGTTAGAAGTTTCCCTATCATCACAGGATGTGGGGAACTTTTAGTTGTTCTACATAAATGCCATAGTGATTCTTGCAAGTAAAGCAAATAGTTTGATATTAAGTAGTGGAGGTGACACGATTCCGATGTGCATTTATTCTGCTGATAGGAGAGTATTTTGATTTAATGTTTTTCACTAGTATGGTTTGTTTGTTTTATATGTATAAGGTAGTTATCAATATTAGGTGAGAGCACCAAGTCTTATTCTTACATGAATCTGAGAAGTAGGTCGTTGACTGGTTAAAAAGCCAGACAAGCTCTAAAGCTCTAGTCAATTAGCATTGGTATACAAAAGAAGTTTTTTTTCATAAGAGGTTTTTTTTTGTTTTGTTTTTAAGAAAACCCCCTCCTCCTCTGTGGAGTTATTTAAAAAGCAAGTATCTCTTAAAATGAAAGTTTTTCCTTTAAAAAAACTTGATCAAGAGCACTGATAGATGCAGTTATGATGTTGATTTGACCTGTAAGGCTTCTTATTTCACAATGATTTTGATTTGATGCTTTTGTACCTGGTCACACAAAACTCTTTCATGTATTTGGCCTAAGATGTATACTCTTGTAATATTTAACTACAAATGCCTGGGTGCAGGAATGGAACACACCTGCTTTCTGCGGGTCTGAGTATGCAGCTACATTTGTGAATGTTCTAGATTTAAGCTTATTTATGTATGTGTTCAAAAGGATACATATAATGCAGTATGTAATGCGTAAATTTATTTTCTTTCCTACCAATCCAAGGCTTTCCTCAGGAAGCCAAATATAAACTGAAGTTCTTCTAGTGATGTGAACATATACAGAATTCCAACTGGGATACGAGTTGACTAAATTAATAATCTGACAGAGTAAAATACTTGATCACTGCTGCTACTAAATTTTGGTTTATAAATAATATATAGAGTTAATAAAACATTGTAACAGTAGTGATCTAAGGATTAGTGAGGCAGGATTTGTGAGGAGACACATGATGTGAGATATATGATATACTTTGTAAAACAAGTTTCTGGGAATACTATGCATCTGCTAATTAAAACCAATATTAATTGATATTTCAATAAATATTGAATTAACATCTTAGTAAACCACAGGGATCTGACCACCTTTTCTTGTTACTGTTTATAATACCTTCTACTATGTTTAGTAGAAACACCCTATGTTTATAGGCATTTATAACACATCATGCTTGTGTCTATGGTGTACTTGTTACATTTGTGAATGATGTATTGAGCTCTTAGGGTAAAGTATATCCTAAAATTCTCTGGCCTGATGTAATGATTATATTTGTTGGCTAGATGTGGTAAGATCAGCTGAGAATTGAAGAGCAATTAGACTAATCGAATTACATTTACTCCAGCCAAGTCACAATCCCTTTTGCAGAAGTACTGGAAAAGATGTAACAAGAAAGCTAGTATAATTGTCCATGGACCATTCAGGGAGTCATTCAGGGCAAACTGAAGCTATCAGTTACAGTGCCATCCCTTTTGTACAGCTCAAGTAGGGGCTGAACCTCTCCCCATTCAGCTGTCCACTTGCTTTCTGGTAAGTTTGAAGTAGTTCAGAAGTCTGTAGTTTCTTTGAAGCTTCAGTAGTGTGTAATAGTTCCTGAGGCTTGTAGCATCATGTATATTTGTGACACTTTTCACTTTCGCTATCTTTTCACATAAAAGCCTTTCAAAGGTAGTTCATATCCTAGCATCAGTGCTTGCAGGTCAGGTTTGAGTCTCTGATGGCCCCATTTCACAGCACTCCAGAGCCTGTGATGGAGAGTGCTCTGGGATGCCTGAGGAGGGAATTCACTTTGGTCTCCCTCAGCTATCAGCTATAATTGTGAATGATGCTTCAGGTGTGGTTTTGGAGGGCTATTTGGATCACTGTAAAATTGAAAACATCAGGGAGCCAGACTTCAGATTAATTATTGGGAATGAAGAATAGTTGCGAGGTTTTCTGCTTTTTCCTTCCACAAATCAAGGGCAGACCTGTGCAAATCTTGCCAGACGTGATGGTCATATATTACATAAAGCATCACAGCAGGAGAGCTGGC